ATGTGTGTTTGTGTGTTTGTGTAAGATGCTGTCCCTGAACTCAGTGTCTAGAACCACTCTGGCCTGTGTGATCTGGGCTAGTAAGATGCTAGCACCACTCCGCACCCCATTGCGGCACACACTTACCCAGATCCCCAGCTGGTGTAAATCAAGGTATCTTCATTTGTGTCAGTGGAGCAGATCCCCAACTGAGGACCCGTCACAAGACATGGATCTCACGCTCCATCTCTGTGAAATGGTGCTATGAATACTGACTGGCACTGCTGTGGGAAGGTGAGGATAAAACTACTTATATTCATCAGAAGAAGAGCTCTATGTAGCTGAAAAGCTTCTCTCATTCACCAACAGAAGCTGGTCCACTAAAAGATATTACCTTGCCTGCCTCGTCCCTCTAATATTCACAAAGCACATTCATGCCCTTGTTTGGCAGTGGTATAGAAATACAGACAGGAAGATGGTGCTCACCTGTAACCACAGCACAGCCCAAGCTTGAAGCGATGAGCTCCTATTTCTCATGTCTTGGCTGCCAGGGTTCAGGATCCTCAGCTGAGTTTCTTGTCTCTCCTCTTTCTGCAGAAACTGGATTTTCTCAGTGAAGAGACCTGCAGTTACCTGAAGGAATGAGCAGGTACATTTGATCTACCTTTGGAAAATGAGCTTCCCCTTCAATTTAAAAAGCATAAATGCTTCCTTATATTTATATTCAGTCTTCAAACTTTTTTATAAGGTCCCGCTTCAACCTTTCTCCCACTTGGTTCATTTTGTGTCTCCAAAGCTTTGTAGCTAACAATGCCCAATGGGACTTGTACAGTAGGCCTTGTATAATTGCATCTTTTTCAAAGTCTAATTATCCATTGTGAAAAATATTTGAGATTGTGATTAAATAGCAGCTTACATTTTTGGGAGATGACTGTCCAAGATGATGGCCTCTTATAATATACTTGCAGCACCCCATTATTAATGACAGGTTTCAGAGTAGCAGCCGTGTTAGTCTGTATCCGCAAAAAGAACAGGAGTACTTGTGGCACCTTAGAGACTAACAAATTTATTAGAGCATAAGCTTTCGTGGGCTACAGCTCACTTCTTCGGATGCATATAGAGTGAAACATAGATTCTCACACTATCTCCCCTTGTAAGTATTCTCACACTTCTTATCAAACGGTCTGTACTGAGCTATCTTGATTATCACTTCAAAAGTTTTTTTCTCTTACTTAATTGGCCTCTCAGAGTTGGTAAGACAACTCCCACCCGTTCATGATCTCTGTATGTGTGTATATATATATCTCCTCAATATATGTTTCACTCTATATGCATCCAAAGAAGTGGGATGTAGCCCACGAAAGCTTATGCTCTAATAAATTTGATAGTCTCTAAGGTGCCACAAGTACTCCTGTTCTTTTTGCCCATTATTAATATTAACTATATGCTGCCATCTAGTGGGCATTTCTGAAAATAGCTGCCCATATATAATCCTTACAACATGCTGCCACCGAATGGCCATTTAACTTTCTGCCCCACCCCCTCCACACACATGATAGAGAAAGGAGGTGATCTGGAAGCCTACTTTCGCCATCTCCAACTCAAGGAATATTTTTAACACACCACTGAACAGCACACTGACCCACAGAAACTCTCCTACCAACACTACAAGAAGAAGAATTCTGCATGGACTCCTCCTGACAGTCATAATGACAAACTGGACTTCTACATAGAGTGCTTCCGCAGATGTGCACAGGCTGAAATTGTGAACAAACAACATCACTTACCTCATAACCTCAGCCGTACAGAACACAAGGCCATGCACAGCCTCAGAAACAACTCTGACATTATAATCA